CTTAAACTGGAAAAATAGAAAAACCCAAAGCTATTCTCAACCAGGGTTCCTTGGATCCCTATGGATCCTCCAGAAGTTGCTAGGGTTGCCTTGAACTGTGTTTGATTGATCTCCCATCTGACAGTGCCTGTATTAACTGTATAGTTCAGGGTCCAAAGCCACTTGGCTGATTTTTTTAACTGGCTGTAAGCAGGCAATCTGACCAACACTGTAATGGAGGCATTATTCTCACTGACCACCAATGTAAAAAGCATATTTCCCATTGTCCACCAATGAAAGGAACATGTTTCCCAATGACCCCCCAATAGATTCATTTTAGCAGGGGTTCACTGAAACATGAAAATTATTTTGAGGGTTCTTCTCGGGTAAAAACATTGAAAAAGGCTGTACCACAAAACTGGGATCTGATTTTTGATGTAGATGAAGTATTCATGGGATCAAACAGCGTCCACGTGTTTCCCAATGACCCTCAATAAATTCATTTTAGCAGGGGTTCGCTGAAACTTGAAAATAATTTCAAGGGTTCTTCTCGGGGAAAAACATTGAAAAATTGTGTGCCACAAAACTAGGATCTGCTTTTTGATGTAGATGAAGTATTCATGGGATCAAACAGCGTCCGCATGTTTCCCAATGACACCCAATAAACTCATTTTAGAAGGGCTTTGCTGAAACCTAAAAAATTATTTCAAGGGTTCTTCTTGGGTAAAACCATTGAAAAAGGCCGCTATACAAAACTGGGATCTGTTTTTAGATGTAGATGAAGTATTCATGGGATCAAACAGCGTCCTCTCCCTGCTACAGCAACAAGCAGGGATAACCTCAAAATAGCTTATTTTAACCAAAAATCATTTTTACTTCTTAAACTTTTTAGCCGCACTGTTTTAGTGTTCCTTTAAACCGTGTTATCCCTGTGAAAGTCTTCATTTGCAGCGTACAGTGTAGTCCTCTCTGACAGAGCGTGAAGATCAAATAGATAACGCTTTGAGCAAGGCTGAGCTAACATAGCAAAGAACAGAATCCAACAGTATCCAATTTAGCTCTTCCAGATCAGAATCCTTCCATATGTCTTATGTCAAAGCGGTATTTTCTCTCTGCTTTAATATGCATCGGCTGCAGGCAGATATCTCACACAAATCAATGGCGGTTACAGATTTGCGGCATCAAGAGGAAAGTTTTTCGCCGGACTAAAGTTTTAAATGGCGCACTTTGGCTGCAGTCGACGTCGTGCTGAACAGAGCTCCATGCTTTCATATCACGGGTTACTAAGAAGTGCAACGCTCATCAACTAGAACCAGACTGTGTTATTGAAGTCATGTTTCTTTAATAAGAAACTCCGGGCAACAAGTGAAAGTAAGCCGGTGAGCTTCTTATCCTGTCTGGGAAAATACCGGCTGAGCTGAAGTCAGAAAGTGCAACCTAGCTGCTGTAAGTCCCAGTTTTACATAATATATGGAAGGAGAGTAACAGAAAATCAAGTCTATTTGAGATCAGAATATCTGGGTAGCATATCTGTGAGATGGTAAAAGAGTTGTCAATGTTCGTCTCCAACAACTTTAGTGAGGGCATGCACATGAACCTGAACCCCCCCCAAAAAATTGTCCAAAAACCTAGAATCGGTAAGCCACACCAATGGTCATAGAGTCCAAATTTGTTTTTTTTTAAATAAATTATTAATTGAATAAGAGAACAAACACATTTCGGGGCTTTTCAGGGTCCCCTTTTCTCAGGGCTAAAATCTCATACATCAGATTATTTAATGAGAAAATGTCCAGGCATGTAAGAAGCAATAAAGTGCTACACCAAGGGTCATAGTGTTAAAACTAATTTTTTTAATTATATCATTAATAGATTCAGTGACCAATGCATTTCAGGGGTTGCAAGGGTCCCCCTTTTCTCAGGGCTAAAAACTCATATTAATATTATTATACAGTGTGTTTATATAGCACCAAAAAGTTTGCTCAGCGCTGTACAATATAGTGGGGGACAGTACATGAGACAATACAGTAACAAGCAGGGGCGGACTGACAACTCATGGGGCCCCCGGGCAATAGGGGATCATGGGTCCCCTGTGTTCTTGCCCAAACTCAAAAAAGCCTATGAAAAAGGTACCAGGGGCATCTTATGTGGCCCCCTACTGAACCCGGACCCTCGGGCAGTGCCCGAGTTTCCAAATGGTCAGTCCGCCCCTGGTAACAAGACAATATACGAGAGGTTCGAGGGCCCTGCTCTTTCGAGCTTACAATCTAGGAGGGAAGGGATAGTGGTACAGAAGTGGCTGTGGGGGGTGGAGTGGTGGGAGGAGTGGAGGAGATCGGCTGTTAGGTTAGGGTGGGGTAGGCTTCCCTGAAGAGATGGGTTTTCAGGGTGCGCCTAAAGGTGAGGAGGGTAGGTGACAGTCTGATGGATCGGGGGGTAGTGAGTTCCAGAGGATGGGGGAAGTCCTGGAGAAGTCCTGCAGTCAGGCGTGGGAGGAGGAGACCATGGAGCTAGAGAGTAGAAGGTCTTGTGAGGAGCGAAGAGTATGGGTTGGGTGGTATTTGGGTATCAGGTCGGTAAGGTAGTTTGGGGCAGCGTTATGAATGGCTTTGTACGTCAATGTTAGTAGTGTGAATTTAATGTAAATCAAAAGTGCAGCGCTAAAAAGGATAATACAGTATGAGTAGTACGCGTATCTACATCATTAGATAAACAGTTCATTAGGTGACTTGAAGTGACTTCAGGTGCTCTCATGTGACTGTATCCTCCTATTAGTAAGGTGCTGTGATATAAAGTGCGGAAAGAATGCGCACTCTGGCGCAATTTAATGAGCGTTTGTGTATATTTGTCCTGATGTCATCTGCTAGTCTGGGTAGTGTCTGGAATCCAGTATATTCCCTTCAATGGTCCTAGATGCTGTTAGTAGGACATCAAGGTGGTCCAGGGATCCCCTCAGGTGATAGCTCAGGTACTGCCCTATGGGGGTTGTAAGGGCTCCCTCTCCGGTGGTCAGGTGGGTGGCTGTAAATTAATACTCCCTCTTCTCTAGACAGTGAGAGATGTTGGCTGCCCAGCGTCTATCTTCGTCTGCCTTTAATGAATTTAAATTTAATGCTTTGGGCAATCGGAAGCCAATGGAGGGAATGACAGAGGGGGGTGGGAGATGCGGAGCGGTTGGTAAGGTGGATGAGTCTGGCCGCTGAGTTCAGGATAGACTTTAGAGGGGATAGCCTGTGATGAGGTAGGCCAGTGAGGAGGGAGTTGCAGTAGTCAAGTCGTGAGATAATAAGGGAGGCGTATGTGAACGAGTTGTTTAGTAGTCATACTCATCATACTTTTATTAGTAAAAAAATGTCCAGACATGTAAGAGGCAGTAAGGGTGTCACACTAGGGGTCAGCATTTTTTTAAATTAAATAATTGAATAAGTGATCCATTTTGGGGGTCCCCCTTTAGCCCCCCTTTATTTGGACTAAAGTCTCATACATCATATTGTTATATGATAAATTATCCAGACATGTAAGAAGCCATAAGGTGCTACACCGAGGGTCATAGAGTCCAGAATATTTTGTTTTACTAATTAATGGAAAGTCACCAACACTTTTTTTGCCATGTTTCTCCTTCCTCAGGGGTAAAATTTCATACATCATATTATTATATGAGAAAATATCCAAACATGAAGGATGCAGGAAGGGTGTAACACCAGGGGGCAGAGAGTCCAGAATTGTTGTTTTTAATTTTTTTAATTCAGTTAAATGTTTGTTAGATTTAGCAATCCTTTGCATTTCATGGGTTTCAAGGGTCCCCCTTCCTCAGGACTAAAAAGGTGGGGCCAAATCAATGTTCATTTTTGATGGGAAAATTCGAAGGGGGAGGAAGGAAAACTTTTCTTGACCAAACAAATTTTCGACCAGTGTACGTGGTTATCGTTCAGCAATGACATTCATTGTAAAGTCGAATGTTAAAAGCAATAGACAATTTTTGAATGACATTCATCCATTCATCGAATGTGCAATTCATTTTCGTACGACTTTTCTTAAAAATATTCTCGCCCAAAAATATACATGTATATGGCCAGCTTAAGGCTAGCCATACAAATTTTGCTTGTTCAGCCCCGAAAAAGGGAAATCACTTGACTCCCCCATCCAGACAAAACAAATGAGGGAATCTCCTTTGGTGGCTATTGTATGTTGACAGCAGCAGCCGTGCCTATCTGAATACTAGACCCTGACTGCATCTGATTGGATGATCCATCTGATTGGATGCAGTCACTGTTTGGCTGATCATTTTTCACCCAGCTTTTTCGATTTTGAAGCCGGATTTGTTGAGCTGTTCCACTGATTCCACATAATGCATAGCCAGCTAGCTAAATACATCACTCATTTTTACTAATAAACAATACATTCCTTTCTGTCTCTGGCTCTTTCACACGGACGTTCTGATCGGGTCTTCCTGCCCGTTTTCAGGCTGACCCGATCGGAACCTCCATTCTCCTCTATGGAGCAGCGGGTGTAAATGGACATGTGTCCGTTTACACCCGCCGAGATCCGATCCGACAAAAAGGGACGGATGGGGATCCAATTCCTCTTCCGTCTGTTGGGTCCGATGAAAACGGACAGGTGGTGTGTTTTCATCTGACCACCCATTGAGGAGAGCGAGCAGCTCATTGGCCGCTCTGCAGCAGCGGAGGGGACACAGACCTTTTTCTTAGTTTTTGATATACATTTTTGTAAATAAGTGATTTTTCTCCTTCACTGATATGCACTAATGAGGCTGCAGTGATGGGCACTGATAGGCTGCACTGATGGACACTGATAGGTGGCACTAATGGGCACTGATGAGGAGGAACTGGTAGGTGGCACTGATGGGCATTGACAGGCATCACTGATGGGCACTGAAAGGCAGCACTGATACATGGCACTGATAGGTGGCACTGATAGGCGGCACTGACTGGCCCCTGATAGACGGCACTGACTGGCACTGTTAGGCGGCACTGACTGACACTGATAGGCGGCACTGACAGTCACTGATAGGCGGCACTGATGCACACTGATAAGCGGCACTGATGCTCACTGATAGGTGGCACTGACTGGCACTGATAGGTGGCACTGATTAGCAGCACTAATAGGTGGCACTGGTTGGCATTGATAGGTGGCACTGACTGGCACTAATGGGTGACACTGAAAGGCAGCTCAGTTGGGCACTGATATGTGGCATTGATGTGCACTGGTAGGCACTGATATGTGGCATTGATGTGCACTGGTAGGCACTGATATGTGGCATTGATGTGGCACTGATGGGCACTGACACAAGGCACTGATGGACACTGACAGGTGGCACTGCTGGGGCTACACTGATCATCAGGGCACACTGATCATCAGTGCCATGATGATCTGTGTACATGTCCCCTCTGCGAAATGCCGATTCCCGGCTCTCCTCTGTCAGCGTGACAGCTCGAAAGTAGAGAAATGCCGATAACCGGCATTTCCCTGTTTACATGTGATCAGTTGTGATTGGACACAGCTGATCACATGTCCGAGCCGACATCTTTGGCTCTTTCCGTGATCGGTGATCCACTGTGGCCGAGGGTCGCGCATGCGCGGTGAGAATGGGGAGGACGTCATATGACGTCCTCCCAGAACGATAGAACCACCTTGCGTCTGTCATATTACTATATGGAAGGCGGGAGGTGTTTAAACAAAAGCCCCACCCCTAATTAAAATATATTCTCCGTCTACAATGGCTTGCTGGATGCACAACAAAAAAGTGTCCCTGAATTTTTTTTTTAAATGTTGGCAATTATGCCCCGCCCACAGCACTTATAGCCCTCCCTGTCCTACTCATGTCAGATGTCCCATACCTCCCAACCCTCATAGATTGGGTGGGACTTTTCACCTTTGTCCCACAGTCCCGGTGTACAGGGGCTTTGTCCTGCATCACTCTAAGATCTTACACCTAAGCATTTTCCACAGCGTTTTGCAGAAACGCACTAACATGATTTCCTATGGGACACATTCACATCTCTACGATTTCATGTGTTTTTTGAAAAGGGTCAGGGACTTTTTTTGAACGCAAAAAAGTTGTGCTTTTGGTTCTATGGATTTCAAAGGAAATGCTGCAGAAAAGCATGTAGTGTGTTTTTGCTGCGTTTTTTTGCTGCATTTATGATGTGTTTTTGATGCGTTTTTGCATTTTAAATCTGCCTAGCAACAAAAAAAAAACACAAAACACATCAATAACGCATGTGCAAAAATGCACAACGCACTGCAGAAACGGATCAACTGCAAACTGCATAGGTGTGAACCTAGCCACACGCTATCTATAATTTATATGCTAACTTCCAGTCGAGCAGGACCTGCAGCAGTATGAACAGTGTGCACAGCCAGGGATTGGTGGGGCTTGCAGCCACAGTAAAAGAGAGCGAGCAGCTGTCAACTCCAACCTGTGATGTCAGGGATGGGCAGGGCCGATGTGTGTTTCAGGGGCTCTACCCACTTTGTCAAGCAAGCACTACATAGACAAAGCACTCTGTACATAAAGCATTCCTGAATCCTGCACTCTGTATGTAAAGCATTCCTGAATCCTGCACTCTGTACGTAAAGCATTCCTGAATCCTGCACTCTGTACGTAAAGCATTCCTGAATCCTGCACTCTGTACGTAAAGCATTCTTGAACCCTGCACTCTGTACGTAAAGCATTCCTGAACCCTGCACTCTGTACGTAAAGCATTCCTGAATCCTGCAAACTGTACGTAAAGCATTCCTGAACCCTGCACTCTGTACGTAAAGCATTCCTGAAGCCTGCAAACTGTACGAATCGAAATTTTTTCAGAAAATGGCGGCTGACATGTGCGGCGACGGAGCGGGGATGTCTGGGAAGGGCGCGCAGACAAGGCGCGCTGACCCATAATGCATTCCTCAACTACATATAAATAGCGGCCATTTTGGAATTCTTCATTTGCCTGCAGTTATTGAACAGAGGCAGACCGCTCTGTACTAGGGACAGGGACAGAGTTAGGGCCACAGAAACGATAATTGGGGACAGAGAAAAGTTACTTAGGGACAGAGAACCATTACTCAGGGACACAGACTTGTTAATGAGGGCCACAGAATCGTTATTTAGGGACAAAGAAACGCTAGTTAGGGCCACAGAATTCATAATCAGGGACAGACAGAATTGTTACTCAGTGCCAGAGAATTGTTACTTAGGGCCACAGAAACGTTATTAGGGCCACAGAATTTTTACTCAGGGACAGACAGAATTGTTACTGAGTGCCAGAGAATTGTTACTCAGGGACAGACAGAATTGTTACTGAGTGCCAGAGAATTGTTACTTAGGGCCACAGAAACTTTAATTAGGGCCACAGAATTTTTACTCAGGGACAGACAGAATTGTTACTGAGTGCCAGAAATTGTTACTCAGGGACAGACAGAATTGTTACTGAGTGCCAGAGAATTGTTACTTAGGGCCACAGAAACTTTACTTAGGGCCACAGAATTGTTACTTAGGGACAGCACAGACACAGAAATGTTTACTCGCACAGACACAGAATTGTTACTGACAGCCACAGAACTGTTACTTAGGGCCACAGAATTGTTACTCGCACAGACACAGAATTGTTACTCGCACAGACACAGAACTGTTACTGAGGGCCACAGAACTGTTACTTAGGGCCACAGAATTGTTACTCGCACAGACACAGAATTGTTACTCAGGGCCACAGAACTGTTACTTAGGGACAAAGAAACGCTAGTTAGGGCCACAGAATTCATACTCAGGGACAGACAGAATTGTTACGGAGTGCCAGAGAATTGTTACTCAGGGCCACAGAAACTTTACTTAGGGCCACAGAATTTTTACTCAGGGACAGACAGAATTGTTACTGAGTGCCAGAGAATTGTTACTCAGGGACAGACAGAATTGTTACGGAGTGCCAGAGAATTGTTACTCAGGGCCACAGAAACTTTACTTAGGGCCACAGAATTTTTACTCAGGGACAGACAGAATTGTTTTACTGAGTGCCAGAGAATTGTTACTCAGGGACAGACAGAATTGTTACTGAGTGCCAGAGAATTGTTACTTAGGGCCACAGAAATTTTACTTAGGGCCACAGAATTGTTACTCGCACAGACACAGAATTGTTACTCGCACAGACACAGAACTGTTACTGAGGGCCACAGAAACTTTACTTAGGGCCACAGAATTGTTACTACGCGCACAGACACAGAATTGTTACTCGCACAGACACAGAACTGTTACTGAGGGCCACAGAACTGTTACTTAGGGCCACAGAATTGTTACTCGCACAGACACAGAATTGTTACTCAGGGCCACAGAACTGTTACTTAGGGACAAAGAAACGCTAGTTAGGGCCACAGAATTCATACTCAGGGACAGACAGAATTGTTACGGAGTGCCAGAGAATTGTTACTCAGGGCCACAGAAACTTTACTTAGGGCCACAGAATTTTTACTCAGGGACAGACAGAATTGTTACTGAGTGCCAGAGAATTGTTACTCAGGGACAGACAGAATTGTTACTGAGTGCCAGAGAATTGTTACTCAGGGCCACAGAAAACTTTACTTAGGGCCACAGAATTTTTACTCAGGGACAGACAGAATTGTTACTGAGTGCCAGAGAATTGTTACTCAGGGACAGACAGAATTGTTACTTAGAGTGCCAGAGAATTGAATTTTACTCAGGGACAGACAGAATTGTTACTGAGTGCCAGAGAATTGTTACTCAGGGGACACAGAATTGTTTTACTGAGTGCCAGAGAATTGTTACTTAGGGCCACAGAAACTTTACTTAGGGCCACAGAATTTTTACTTACTCAGGGACAGAGAGAATTGTTACTGAGTGCCAGAGAATTGTTACTCAGGGACAGACAGAATTGTTACGGAGTGCCAGAGAATTGTTACTCAGGGCCACAGAAACTTTACTTAGGGCCACAGAATTTTTACTCAGGGACAGACAGAATTGTTACTGAGTGCCAGAGAATTTGTTACTCAGGGACAGACAGAATTGTTACGGAGTGCCAGAGAATTGTTACTCAGGGCCACAGAAACTTTACTTAGGGCCACAGAATTTTTACTCAGGGACAGACAGAATTGTTACTGAGTGCCAGAGAATTGTTACTCAGGGACAGACAGAATTGTTACTGAGTGCCAGAGAATTGTTACTTAGGGCCACAGAAACGTTATTAGGGCCACAGAATTGTTACTCAGGGACAGACAGAATTGTTACTGAGTGCCAGAGAATTGTTACTTAGGGCCACAGAAACTTTAGTTAGGGCCACAGAATTGTTACTCAGGGACAACACAGAATTGTTACTGAGGGCCACAGAACTGTTACTTAGGGCCACAGAATTGTTACTCGCACAGACACAGAATTGTTACTCGCACAGACACAGAATTGTTACTGAGGACCACAGAACTGTTACTTAGGGCCACAGAATTGTTACTCGCACAGACACAGAATTGTTACACAGGGACACAGAACTGTTACTGAGGGCCACAGAACCGTTACTTAGGGCCACAGAATTGTTACTCGCACAGACACAGAATTGTTACTCGCACAGACACAGAATTGTTACTCGCACAGACACAGAATTGTTACTGAGGGCCACAGAACTGTTACTTGGGGCCACAGAAACGTTAATCAGGGACACAGAATTGTTACTGAGGGCCACAGAACTGTTACTTAGGGCCACAGAATTGTTACTCGCACAGACACAGAATTGTTACACAGGGACACAGAACTGTTACTGAGGGCCACAGAACCGTTACTTAGGGCCACAGAATTGTTACTACTCGCACAGACAGAATTGTTTACTCGCACAGACACAGAATTGTTACTCGCACAGACACAGAATTGTTACTCAGGGACACAGAAACTGTTACTGAGGGCCACAGAACTGTTACTTAGGGCCACAGAATTGTTACTTACTCGCACACAGACACAGAATTCTTACTCGCACAGACACAGAATTGTTACTCAGGGAAACAGAACTGTTACTGAGGGCCACAGAACTGTTACTAGGGCCACAGAATTGTTTCTCGCACAGACACAGAAATTGTTACTCGCACAGACACAGAATTGTTACTGAGGGCCACAGAACTGTTACTTGGGGCCACAGAAACGTTAATCAGGGACACAGAATTGTTACTGAGGGCCACAGAACTGTTACTTAGGGCCACAGAATTGTTACTCGCACAGACACAGAATTGTTACTCAGGGACACAGAATTGTTACTCAGGGACACATAATCGTTTAATTAAAGAGTATGTCAGACAACATGCAGAGGAGTGGCAGAGGAGGCAATGTTTTAGGAGCGAGCAGACGTGGCAGCAGAGGAAGGGGTCGAGGCAGCACTATTCGCAGCCAGAGGCCAGTGCT